TACGTCAGAAGTTGTCCATCCTCGCAATTTTTTAAACTTTCTACGTTCGTGTTGGCTGTAAGGTTTGGACTGCGAATCTTTATTGATCCTCCTGGCGCGGTGCACCTTTGTTGGCCTGAGAGTTCCATTAACGACTTGCGATATTTTATACTCTGCTCTCATCCGCTTGCGAATCATCCATTCTGACTGATCCAAAGACGTGATATATATAAATATGTATATATATTTTCTTTTTTTAAGTTTTGAAAAGGGTTTATTCATAACAAACCACCTAAGTTACAAAATAAAAATGCTAACGCACGTGGGCCTGGCCCCAACTAATTATTAATAAACAGTCCAAAGTTCCAAAGCACAAGAGTTCTTAAATATATACGAGTATTAAATATTACTAATATTAATGTAAGGTTAAAAATAATTCCAAAATAGTTAGGTTTAATTTTAATATAAGCTTAATCTATAATGTTGGTATGGCTAGGGCTAACGTAGACTAATATTAATGTAACTCTAGGATTGTTTAATGCTAATTCTAAGTTGTAAATAGTTCCAAGTCGATTTAATCAAATGTTAACTAAAGTTTAAGGTAATCTAATATTCATATAAGCTTAATCTATAATATTGGTATAGCTAGGGCTAACGTAGACTATTATCAATGTAACTCTAGGATTGTTTAATGGTAATTCTAGGTTGTAAATAATTCAAAGTTGATTTAATCAAATGTTAACTAAAGCTTAAGGTAATCTATTTACAAAAGTATTCTATAGGAGTCCCCATCAATTATACAGACCGATAGGGACTCCCAAGCGTTTCTAAAGTTAGATAGTTTCTAAAGTTAGAGTCGGAAGTAGTCGCACGCAATTCTGTTTTTGGTCTCGCTGAGGGCATAGTGAATTATATCCTTAGGGGGGTCATTCCCATAGTGGAAGGTAGATTTTTTTTCGAGATTTCCAGCTGCTGTACATAATTGTCTTGATTAGAAAGCGGGCAATACGATTCTCTTTTGGACTAGCGGTGGTCCAACGAAAAAAGAAAACATATGTGCAGGATGCGAGAAATCTAGTTCCAAGGATAGAGGAGACAATACGGTAAAAGTGGGTCCATACAGATTTCACACGGGGGCAATTGAGAAAACAGTGATCTATAGTTTCTTTATGGAAACAGAAAACGCACTTATCTGAGTCGATACATCCCCAGTGCGTTAGAGAATCGCGGACCTAAATAGCGCGAAGTACAATTTTCCAGAGTATGTCGTTCTTATAAATTTCAGAAAAGTCATCTCGCACTAACTTCCAAAATTTGTCAAGATTAAAGTCAATCGGAATGGAGGGAGTCCAAAAGCGACGAAGAATTGGAGATGTGGAGTTTTCCTTCAAGAGAGTTCGATAACATTTCTTGAAAGAAATTTCAAAATCGCACCACTCCGTGTGGTAGAGAATCCCTCGTAGAGTGGTGAGCGCCGAGAGAACA